TTGAGACTCCCCCAACTGCCTGTTTAAATTAGCATATATTAGGTTAAGTTAGTGTAAGCCAAATTAGCATTAGTAGCATATGTAGACTAAGTTAGTTTAAGGCTAGTTTTATGTAAATACCCCTTGTTAAAGCTGCGGGCCAAAGTTAACTCATGTTAGGCCAGATTAGCACATCCACCACATGACAGGGACTCAGAGATAAAACAAAAGAACTCACTAAATGACAGACTCAGCAAATAAAATACAGGAACCCACGGGTTTATAAAGAAAGGAAAACAGGATGAACAAACCTGAAGGCTCCAGAGAAAGATTAACTATCTTAGCTAGGAGCTCTTATCTAAAGCAACAGGTAGTTTCTAACTACAAAGAGTTTCTCATCTATGTGCTGTTAACTATAAAAAAACTGCTAATAAAACATCCTGTGTTGTCTCCTGAGCTACAAGATCATCTTCCTTTCCCATATGGGTAATAGGCTCACCCTCTTTAGCTGTAATATATAGTCCATATATTAACTGTGCCTTTACTTAACCAAGACAAGATTTCTAGTTAGGCCTTTGTAACCAGCAATGTTGCCACCCTGGCCTGGGACTAAAGTTATCAAGCTGGCCTGGGACTGAAGTTATTAAGCTTCTTGCAAGCCCCCTCTTCAAAAGACCCTTCCTAGTAATCAAGATCTAAGAAGAAAATACAACAGACAAATGGACTTCCTCATCCTGAGAACTGTGATTGATTTTACCTGATCTGACAAGACAAACAGCATGTTTTATAATTATTGTTTCCATGCATTGTATTCCCTATATTTTAAAGTAAATTTTTTACTTCCCCTCACCCCCCCTTACTTCCTAAACATCCCTCAATAAATACGCATGTTTTAATAGCCACTGGGCTGCAGTCTGGCTCTGGCTGTAGCCGGCTGAGAACACGCTAAGAGGCATTGAGGTCTCAGTCTGATTTTTGTTCCTGATCACCCGTGTCGCCTTCCTGTGTACTCACCCTGGCTGGAGCAGGGCTTCCGGCAGCCCGGTGTGTTTTCCAAGTGGCAAAGTATCAGAACTAGGCTCAGCTATGTGGAATGTGGATTCCTTAACTCCTAGGTACAGAGCCAGCCCCAACCATATTTTACAACTGTGCTATGACATGGAGTAGCCACCAACCATATGTGACTACTGAGCACTTGAAATGTGGATGGTTAAAGTATATGTGTGTTTTTTTTTTTTTTAAAAATTATTTAACTTGGGGAACCAGCAGTTAGCGTAATGGCTATGTTGCTGGTTTCCCACGTAGTCAACCGCAGTTCGCGTCCCGGACCTGGTGGCTTAGAACTCATGCTGGGCGCATGTGCGTGCGTGCGTGCCCAAGATCCTGAGAGGAGAATGGAGCAGAAGGGATTGCAGTGTAACCATCCCCCCTAGGGATTGATTTCTCACTTTCTGTCTCTATGTCTCTCTCGGTCTGTCTGGCGAGCGCACGCGCCCTATAGCGAAAAACTTCTCAAAAACAAAAGAATTATTTAACTTTATTCATTTATTTTTAAATTGACCAGAAAGGGGCAGAGTGTATGTGTGTGTGTGTGTGTGAGAGAGAGAGAGAGAGAGACTGAGAGAGAGACAGACAGAGAGAGGGAAAGTGAGAAAGCAAGCCTCTAGGTCTATGACTTGAACCATGGTTGGCCATGTGGGAGTCCAGCGCTCTTAACCAACATGTCGCCAGCTGTCCCCAAAATATATGTGCTTTTAAAAGAATCAGGATAAGAAAGAAAGAAGGAAAGAGAAAAGAAGGAAGGAGGGATGGAAAAATTAGAGGAAATTAGGAAGGGAATCTCTATAATTTTTAAAATATTGGGAGAGGGACCAGCAAGTTAGCGTAATGGATATGTCGCTGGACTCCCACGTAGTCAACCGTGGTTTGAGTCCCAGACCCGGTGGCTTAAACTCACGCCGGACACATGTGCATGTGTGCCCAGGATCCCAAGAGGAGAGTGGAGGAGAGAGGATTGTGGCGTGGCCATCCCCCCAGGAAGTGATTTCTTGCTTTCTGTCTCTCTGTCTCTCTCTCTGTCTTTCTGGTGAGTGCACATGCCCTATAGCAAAAACCTCTCCAACAAAAGAAAAAAAATATTGGTTAAATGTTAAAGTCATAATATTCATTTGTTAAATAAAATATATTAAAATTAATCTTGGGTTTTTATTTATTTTTAAAATTGACTACTAGGAAATTTAAAATTATATCATTTGAATTTTATTTCTTCAGAACTGTGTTGCCTTAGAACATTTAACTCACAGAAGTAACAACACAGTATTTTGAGAGATCTACTTATATATCTAGACATCATTAGAAAATATTTAAAACTGAAAGCTCTTCTCTGCAGAAAAACTGCCAGCTAAAAGATGTTGAAGGAATGACAGATTAAATTATCTTATTTTGCAATTCCCAAAAGAATAACTGATTCAAGCAAAGACAATGAATGGATGGTCAGAGGTTGATGCAGAAGGGGACATTCATCCAGTGGCAAAATACCACCCTAGAGATGATTAAGAAACTACAAAGAGAAGCTCTGGTGGTTACCACCTTCACAAAATGCTTAAATGTAGCATAGAAACAGTGCTCCAACCTAAGACTATAGGCCCCCTGATATGTGGCAATACAAGGTACTAAGTGTTACTTTTAAAGTATTTTTCCCAGATGTTTTGTTGTAAAACTTTTCAAACAGATGGCAACATTGAAAGAATTTTATAAATGAAAATCATATCCATATCACTTAATATTTTACTACACTTATCATGTATCTATTTCTCAATCAATCCAATTTTTAAAGCATTTCAAAGTAAATTGCAGCTATTAGCACATGGCCCCTTAACTAACCTGTGAAGTCTTCTTGCCAAAAATATTCAACCTGAATTTAATGAAGCCTTTAATCCTAGCTTTCAATTAACAGGACATACAGATGTTAAAGAAATAAGTTACTTGACAATAAAAGTAAATAGGAAAAAAAAAAGAATATGGGACATAGAGCTTAAAAAGTTGATGTCATAAAAGAAAGTTTGGGTGTCTAAATTTAAGAGTCTAAAGAAGCATTCAAATTTGTCAACCTAAATATATACTTCTTTTTCTTTTTTTTAATTGCTAGAGGATATGTGCATTCACCAAAGAGAGAGTGAGAGGGGGCCAGCAGGTGGCACGGTGATTAAAGCACTAGACTCCTGGTTTGAGTCCCAGACCTGGTGGCTTGCTTTCTTACTTTCCCTCTCTCTTTGTCTCTCTCTGGTGAGTGTGCATGCGCAACAGCAAATTAAAAATGATAATAAAATTAAAATAAGTAATTCTTAAAAAAAAAACAAGGAAAGAAAGAAAGAAAGAGCAAGAGAAAGACAATTCCCCAAAGGCACATGGTTACACCATAGTCCTTTTTCTTCAATTTCTCCATCCCATCAAGATTTGGGGCATGCATGTGCATACACCAAGCATATTTTTCAAGGGATTCAAACCAGACACTCATGTGGGATCTGGCTCCCAATACACAGTGCTTAATCACCGCACTATGGGGTTAGCCCAATAGTAGTTTAAAAAACAAAACAAAACAAACAAACAAACAAACAAACCTACAAAGACATTCGTGGAACAGCTAGAAAAATGTAACTATCAACTGGATATGAGATAGCACTATAAAATTATTAATTTTCTTAGGTGTGATATATAAGAGATTATCCTTATCTTCAGAGATGAATGCTGAATAACATGCCCATACTCACATACACACACAAATATACACCTTAAGGTGTGTTCATTTATTTAAAGAGAGAAAACAAATGTAGCAAAATGTTAACAATTATTATATCTAACAAGAGTGTAAACAGGTATACATGTTCTAGTCTTTCAACTTTTCTGTACAACTGAACACTGTAAAATCAAAATCAAGGGCAGAATAGATTTTTAAAAAATTAATTGCAGGATTGATATGGTCTATTCTACTTTGTTCTCCTGGGGCTTGATGGATTGGAAACATAAACTTTGGGGAAAAAAATCTTAGCACAGATACACACAAAAATATGTCTCTATAACATTCTTGAAGTCCACCTCAGAACCAATGCAGTTACTATGCAATATTCCAACTAGTAATAAGTTTACACCTGAGAGCAGGCCTACTGTCACTCCTTCTTGAAATGTGTAGACTGACATTCCCACAATTTCAGATTTCACTTTATAAATAATTTGGTTAAAGTATCATGCCAGGACCACCCTGGTCATGCAGCGGTTGAGAGCTGTGCACTGGGAGCCAGCTCCCAAATGGCCGACACTGTTTGAATTCCAGCCCTAGCAGCTTGTAAATCATGCCAAGTGGGGCCAGCAGGTGGTGTAGTGGTGAGGGTGCTGGACTCCCATAAGGCTGACCATGGTTCAAGTCCTGGACCCTGTGCCTTAAAATTTACACTGGGCGTATGTGCTCAAAATTCCAAAAAGAGAGTGAAGGAAAAGAGACTGTGGCATGGCCATTATCCCCCCTTCCCCCAGGGGGGTGATATCTCACTTTCTCTCTTTCTGTCTCTCCAGTGAGTCCACATGTCCTAAAGCAAAAATCTTTCTCTTAAAAAAAAAAAAAAGTCAGGCATGTGTGTGTGTCTGGCCAGAATCCTCACTGGGAAGGAGAAATGGAAGAAAAAGAGCTATGGCATTACCATACCCTATTAGGAGACTGAAGGGTACTTTCTCTCTCTCCACTGGTGAGCACATGCAATCTCTGGCAATTAAAAAAAGAAGACAAAAAGAAAGTATCGTGTCTTATTGGCAACTGTCGGCACAGAGATTTTCGTGATCTCTTAAAATTTCATTTTGCTTTCCAACCTATTGCTGCTGCTCCTGGGAGGAGACATCAGGGAAGTTTTTGCATAAAGGAATAAAGTATAAAACTACCTTATTGAACAAGTCAGCACATGAATTCAATAAAGCAATTCGTTCCATTTATCTTGCTTCAGATACAATAAATAAGAGGAAATGATATTTACCAGGGTTTGTCTTCTCCAGTTGATACCAGCGATAAAATGCTCTCTTCTTCTGTTCACTCAGGTCTGATCCCTGCTGCAACAGCCAATGAGAGATCCGGCTCTGACTGATACCTACGCAGAGAGAGAAACAGCTCTTGGGGGCCATTGAAATGACAGTGACATTAATAAAGGTTCTGTGGGTTCTAGGTTCCTGGGTGCTTTATTCTCTGTGTCTCTCTGTAAAGAAGCTACTCACCTTGAATAAAAACTCCTTAACACTGGGCTTCCTATAAAGGCTGACTGCATTCACTAGGATATACTCAGAAATAATCTATTAGAGGTCAAAACATTTTATTATCCAAGACTTGACAGTGCTCCTCTAAAATTAATTTCCAAACCTTGTCCATGGATCTAAGGTAAACAAAGAGGTTCCTAAGTGATAGCTCTTTGTCAAAACTGATTACATAAATCTGTGTTCCTGCAACTACCACTGCCTTCCTTTCCTCCCCTGGTTTAGAATATTAGAACTTATAACAATGAGGGAAAAAAAATCAAGTCAGCAAGTTTTGCTACTCATTATTAATAGTTATAAAAAGATTTAGGGTCTAGGGATAAAGAGGTCATTAAAAGTACTGTCTTCAATAAGATTTTTGGCTTATTTGTTAATTCATTTAGGCATTTTTAGACCTGTTACAATTAATACAGAGACTTAAGAATTGGCAGACTTTTAAATTTATGCTGCAATATGATGACCTCTTAAGAAATATCAACAGCTAAAGATGTTCTTCCAACACATATACTTTCCAAAAAATCTGAATAGAATATAAAGTAGAGGGGATTTTTTTGGTGTGTTGTTGTTATCACTGAGTTCTGGACAGCAATTACTTAGAAATGTGAGGAGTCTTGGCTCAGCCGTGGCAATGAGGAATGATAATACACAGCCTCTCCACAGGCAGAGGCCACAGAGGAGGCCTGACCTAAAAATGATCTTGGGCCTATAGTCCCAGCTTAGGAGGCTGAGGCAGGAAAAGCTCGCACTCATGGTCAGTGGCAGCAATATGGTAAGACCCTGTCTACAAGAACTGAGTGTGGCCACGGATGCCTATAGGTTCATCTACTCAAGAGGCTGAGGCAGAGGACTGGGACAGACATCAAAACAGGAAGAAGAAGAAAGAAAAAAAAAAGGAAATGTGAAGGATCTTTACATCTGAAAATTTCAAAAGAGCATGTCTAAAACTTACTAGTATGACAATCACATGCTCATTCTGATGATTACAGCTATTCCAAAAAATGAATAATTTAGTAACACAACGTGAAAAAACAAAGAATAACAAAAAAACGAAACTTAGAAATTCACAATGCAATTTCCAAAATACCGTTTAGCTATCATCCGATACCAATATCTAAACTCTCCCAAGGAATTAAATGTAGCTGGACATTATGGAATAACACCTATGCTAATACCTGTTAAAGCTATACTGCCCTACAGGAAGAGTGGCCACCATGAAGTGATCACACCTCCCGAACATGAGAAAAAGCAGGAGGCCTGTGCTCTCAGTCAACGTTAAAGGAAGCCCCTTAAGTTTCAGGCATTTAAAATCTACATTAATGGGAAATTCGGGCAACGGGAGAGGGCAGTGTTAAAAGTAAGACTATGGGGAACAGCAAATGGTGTAATGGTTATTGCTGGACTCTCATGTAGTTGACCACCTTTTGAGTCCTGGACCTGGTGGCTTGAAACTCATGCTGGGCGCATTTACATGCCCAAGAAGAGAATGGAGGAAAGGGATTATGATGTGACCATCCTGTCTGAGGAGTGATTTCTCACTTTTGTGTATATGTCCCTCCAACCAGCACACATGCCCTATAGCAAAAAATCTTTCTTAAAAAAAAAAGTAAGGCTGTGAAACAAGGTTCTCTGACTTGAAATAACTTTCACTTTCAAAGAGAAAATCTGTTTCCCAAACCTCACTGATTACATTCTCAAGGAATTCACAGTGGTTTTTCCAATGGATTGAAGATCTATATGATGCAGGTGCTGGCAAATAGCACTGCTTGCTTGTTGTAAGAGAATAGAAATTATTCTAGATAATTAAATCAGCTGTGTTTAGCAATACTTTCACCAAAAGTCTAGTTTCAGACATTATAGCATTTTAAACATTCCTTTTAAACAAAAGTGAAGAAAACAATGATTAGCCTCCCAGAAATCAAAACTGAATTTCATGTCAACAGAATAAAACTATTTTGCATAGATTCTTCATATTAGTATCATCCTACTCAAAAACAGGGAATATGAGGAAAATGTGCTAAGAAAAAAATATCTATCAGTTCTGTTAGTTTGTTCCATTATTAAATCTTCTTTATATTGTCAGGTCACACATAATGGTTGTCAGAAAAGTCTCGAGGTATTTTTTTTCTATGCAAAAATGTGCCATGACTTTTCCAACAACCTAATACAAAAGATCAAACCACAGAGTCCACTAGACATTAGAGCTGTCTCCACCTGGGTATGCCATGATGGGGGGAGAGGGCAACAACCCAAAACAAGGGCATTAGTTAAATTAGAAAGTATTTTCGTAACATAACACTGGCAGAATTTTAAATTAATCTTTTTTTTCCTTTTTTGGAGAGGTTTTCGCTATAGGGCGCGTGCGCTCGCCAGACAGACAGACATAGAAACAGAAAGCGAGAAATCACCCCCCAGAGGGGATGGTCACGCCGCAATCCCTTCTCCTCCATTCTCCTCACGGGATCTTAGGCACGCACGCACACGCGCCCGGCATGAATTTTAAGCCACCGGGTCCGGGATGTGAACCGCGGTCGACTACATGGGAGTCCAGCAACATAGCCATTATGCTAACTGCTGGTTCCCTAAATTAATATTTTTTAAAAGCAAAAATGAAACAAACCCAGTCTGTAACAAGAAGTGTTTACAAGGACACAGAATATAAAAAAAACTCTCATATTCCTTGATAAAAATGCAAAATGGCAAGGCCACGTTGGCAAACAGCTGCACTGCTTCTATAAAGCAGAACATATGTACACTCTACGACCTACTAATTTCTTCACTAGGTTTACAGCCCACAAAAATGTAAATGCATACTCAATAGCAACATGTTCAAAAGAAGGCTTCAGCAATGGTGGTATATGCTGCTAACACACTGCTTCTGGGAGCCTGAGAATGTAATCAGTGAGGCTCCATGGGAGGACCGAGTTCAGTTCCCAGCCTAACCAGGCCAGACGCAGTGGCGCATGCCTTTAATCCTAACTGGAAGGCAAGAGGATCTTAATATAATGACACCCTACCAAAAGTCGATCTCTCATTCTATCTTTTCCAAATAAACAAACTAATAAAGAAGAAATATGTTCAGAAGTCAGGGATAAGAAGGTGCATAAGAGCATATCTATAAAAGCCCCCCAATTTGAACTAAATGCCCATCATTATGTGTAAATATCTATCCATTCTATATAGATGAATACACCAAACAGAAAAAAGATAAACTACAGTTCTATGTAACCACTTGGATAAGTACCACAAAAATAATGTTGGCTAAAGAAGACTTTGACACACAAAAAAGCCCACAACTGCATGACCCACTTTATATAAAGTTAAAAGACAGACATATCACATCTATATGAATGGAAATCCGAATAGTGGTTACCTATGCAGGAGGAAAAGGTTAATGCCCAGGAGGTAGTAATGAGGAAGGCTTATGTGGTGACCAGCCTTGCTCTGTATCTTGATCTGGAGGACAGTTACTTGGGGGAGGTCTTCACTTTTCAAGACATTAAACTGAATATTTATGTTAAAGTTGTCAAATTAAAAAGAAAGTTTCCCAAAGAAAGTGTTTAAAATTATATGTAGTTTCTGGGGCCAGCAGATGACATAGTGGTTACAATGCTGGACTCCCACAAGTCCTGGACATGGTGGCTTAAAAATTACGCTGGGCATGTGTGCATGCATAACTAAGATCCCAAGGAGAATAGAGAAGAAGGGACTGTAGTGTGGCCATCCCCCCTCTTGGGGGAGGAAGGGGTGGCGATTTCTCACTTTCCCTCTCACCGTCTCTGCTTCTCTCTCTCCACTGAGTATACATGCCCTAAGGCAAAAACCTCTTTTTAAAAAAATAATAATTTTATTTAACTTCATTTATTTATTTTAATTTGATCAGAGAGGGACAGAGCAAGAGAGAGCGAGATAGACACAGAGAGAGAGAGAGAGAGGGGGTGAGAAAACAAACCACCAGCTCTGGAACTCAAACCATGGTCAGTCATGTGGGAATCCAGTGCCTTTAACCACCATGTCACCTGCCAGCCCCCCGCAAAAACCTCTTTAAAAAAATATTCTATGTAGGGAATGGATATATATCAGTATGGAAAGATGCTCATGATAGAAAAAAAGAAATATATTTTTCTGAATATGTAATTTCATACGATCTACCCTGCTTTCTTTCTTTCTTTCTTTCTTTCTTTCTTTTTTTTTTTTTGAGAGGTTTTTGCCATAGGGCACATGCGCTCGCCAGACAGACAGAGACAGAGAGACAGAAAGCGAGAAATCACCCCCCAGGGGGGATGACCACGCCACAATCCCTTCTCCTCCATTCTCCTCTCGGGATCTTGGGCACGCATGCACGCACGCACATGCGCCTGGTGTGGGTTTTAAGCCACCGGGTCCGGGACACGAACCGCGGTCGACCACGTGGGAGTCCAGTGACATAGCCACTACGCTAACTGCTGGTCCCTCTACCCTGCTTTCTATAGTAAGTAACCATAGGTTATACTATAACACAATATGACTTTAGAGTGGTAGGCTCTCCTTCTACTTTTAAGTCCATATTGTTTTCCTAATCTTTCTAGAAATATGTATTAACTTAATTTTTTAGCTTTTCTCTTTAAATACTACACACTTTATTAGTTGTTTTTTATAAACTTTGTAATTAAGTTAAACAAAGAGTTGCAAAAAGAAGTTAATTACTGCCTTCTCTAATCATACTCCTCAAGGTAAGCAGTGTACTCTTTATACATAGGTTGTTCCATGAGTTTTTTTTTGTGAAATTATTATTTTAATAAAACACAGTAAGAAGGCAATATAGAATATTCTCCTGTCTCATATTTTGGGGTAGGAGGAAATA